GTTCTTAACCTCTAAGCCATCTCTCCAATCCGAGACTTGCCCTTCTCACATATGCAGGTATAAGGACATGCCTCATCTCACTTCAAGAACCATGGCTTTAGTTTCATTCTCTTATCCTGGGGCATTTTTTTATTCCCCTAAGAAACTGTTTCTGAAATCATCATGCAAGATGATGGAAAGCATGACAATTTTCAAAGACTTTATGAAATTTGAAAAAAAAAATCTAAAAACATTTTAACATTTCCCCCACACACCTTCAAAGAAACTGAAATCTTAATGAGGTCAGGTGCCTTAAGCAAAACACACAATGTGGGCCTATTTATTAGCTGGATATCTCAACAGCATCCCTTGACCAACTCTGGGCAAAATATATTCCATACACTATCTTTTAAGTTACAACAACACTGTATTCTAATGCCAAGCCCACACCTGTAGAACTCCAAAGGAGACAACTGTTCCAAGGTCACACAAGTGAAAGGAGTCCAGAGTTCTTGGATGGTGTACACACCTGTCCCAGTGCTCTACCACAAACTCTGCAGCCACATCAGCACATACACTTTCATGCTCCTGGTGCCTGGGGCACAATCTGGCACAGCATGGAGCCATGCTTGCCGAACAGGCAAATGAATGGGGTCTGCTCAAAGGCTCAAACTCAGTATCAATGTGCTCAGTTTCCTGGGGCTCCGGGTTAGCTGGCCAAGAGAAAGAAACAGTGATAACAGCAAACACTTTTGCAACACTTACTGTGCTCAATACTATTTTAAGTGTACAGTACAATTCACTTATTTAATCCTCACCACCTGGGAGGATAGGCACATTTCCTCCAAACTGTAGAGTTGAGGAAAGAAAGCTCAGAAAGATGGAGCAGCTTGTCAACCAAATTGTGATAGCTGAAACACAAACCCAGGCAATCTATCTGCAAAATTCATTATCTTTTTCTTTTTTCTTTAACATTTATGTGTATATGTGTGTGTGCACCACGTTGGTACCTATGTTCCAACAATACTTATGTCCAGAGGTCAAAACACACTTGCCAAGAGTCAATTCTCTCCTTCCACTATGTGACTATAGATTGCACTTGGAGAATTAGGCTTGGCAGCAAATGTTCTTTTCACTTTTTTTTTTTTTTTTTTTTTTAGTTTTTCGAGACAGGGTTTTTCTGTGTAGCCCTGGCTGTCCTAGAACTCACTCTACAGGCCAGGCAGGCCTCAAGCTCAGAGATCTGCCTGCCTCTGCCTCTCAAGTGCTGGGATTAAAGGAGTGTGCCACCATTGCCTGGCCCAAGGTTATTATGTTCTTTGATGATGCTTCTCCAAAGAAGAAAATAATTCCAGAAAGAAGAATAGAAAAGTCCAAGAATCCTGGGCACTTGATTATGTTTTAGCTCTAAACTGAGTTACTGTCACTGTCTCAAATCACAAGTATAGACAATCAAGGCTCCAACTCTAGCCTCTGTAAAGTCAGAGCTAGCAACAATGACAGAGCCAACTCAAGCCAGTGGTGCCCAGAAGTCCTGACTCTGACTCCCTCCTTCTCTGACTTTGCCAACTTTGGATAAGACCTGAGATATGAGAGGGCCAGAGACACAAAGCATATACAAACAGGTCCTAGGCAGGATTGTGTGACTAATGCATGGGGGTACAGTTACTTTCTTCATTATTGATGGCTAAAGGCAAAGGTCTTCTCAGCAAAACCGTGTTCCTGCACAGCCAGCTGGTCTCCACATTCCAGTTCACAAATAAGATTTCAGAGCAATAACACATGAAGCAAGTCATCTCAAGAGCCATATGGCTGCCTATTAACAAAATTGTCACTCCTCTTGAAGTGTAGATGAAGTAACCTTATTTCATCTCCTAGGAAAGTTGCAGCTAAGTTTTGCATTCAAACTCATATTTAATTGTATGCTCACTTACGCTCCATAATGACTCAACATCAAAATGTAACTTACAAAGATAAGACCCAATATGGTGGCACACGCCTTTAATCCCAGCACTTGGGAAGCAGGCGGGTCTCAGAGTGCAAGCCCATCCTGGGCTATAGAGTGAGTTCCAAGACAGCCAGGGCTGCATAGAGAAACCCTGCCTTTAAAAAAGATTTTTTTCCCCCAACACTGATAACCTTAGTGAATTCCCCAGGGAAATGGCAGACAATATTCTAAATTTAACTTGCAAAGACATGAAAATGCACTGTGTGGAAACCCACCTCATCCTTGTATACCTGACATTTAATAGTCATCAGGCACCCCTGACCTTAGCCAGACCAGGTCTCTCTTCCCCAACTTGAAAGTGAGCTTGCAAGTATTTGCAAGTGAGCTTATCACACTCAGCTCAGGAAAGCCCTCCAGCTAGAGAGGGGTACCAGCATACCACTCAGGTCACAGCCTTTCCTCTGTTCCTGAGAAGCAGTTCTCAGGGCTAACAACAGGCTCCTGCCCAGCCCTGGTTCCTGACTGCCTTGATTGGCATTACAGCCCTGCCACTCTCTAACTACTATGATGCTACACAAGTCACTCAGCCTTGGCACCTCCATGTCTCTTCAGTAAGCTGAGGACAATTACTATCTTCCTCATAAGGTGGGATAGCTTTTGGGTTTTTTTTTTTTTTTTGACAATTCCATACATGAATGCTACATTTACACTCTTTCTACCCCACCCTCTCCCCTCCCAATTATTCCTGCCCCTGCCAGCTCCTTCTCAAATTCATGTCTTTAACTATTTTGTTATATATACACAAAATATTATATATGTATATATATATGTATATATGTATATGTATATATATATATATATTATACACACACACATATAATTTGCTGAGTTCCTTGAGTATTGCTCAAATATCTATGTGTTTAGAAATGGTCACTTGGAACTGGATAACCTATCAGGGGCCTCATCACTGGAAAAGACTGATTCTTCCTCTTTTAGCAGACATCAATTGCCTATAGCTTTTCACCTAGAGGTAGGACCTTTTGCTATTCCCCCCATTCATGTTAGGATGTCAATTGGTAGTACAGGTCTTATTTAGGTAATAACATTGTTAAGATTCGATAGGTTCAGTTCGTTGTCATTTACATATATACTATCTTGTAGCAGATGTCCTGGTCCTCTGGCTCTTACAGTTTCTAACCCTCTTCTTTATCTAGGCAGGGGAAGAAAATGCTGAGGCAAAGAGGAGAGCCAAAGAACACTAGGCATAATAGAAAAGCCAGAGGGGAACATGTTATGCTTACTTAAAAAAATAAATATATAAATGTATGTGTGTACATATACAAATAATTCAAATGAAGTTCACTTAAGAGGTGAACATGCTCTCCCTGACAGCCATAGACTATCTAACAAAAACCCAGCATCAGACATGAAAACCCTTCCTTCAAGTTCTTGGTCAGGGGAATCCATGAGACTCTCCACATAATACAAACTATTGCCAATCCCTTGGTTGTTTCCTAGAACTTGGAGATAAGACATATTACTAAAGATACCACATACTTCAGACAAAGAACAGCTGAAGGAATCTAGCTGGGAATGAGCTGGAAGCCTCATCCCTGAGGACTAGCACTCATAGTATTTCAAAGTGCTACACAAGCTGCCAAGGGAGAAAAACAATTAAAAGTCCTATTCAGTTATAAAGCCTATAAACTACAACAATGACCAGAATGGCAAGATACATCCAAGGGTGCAATAGTGGCACTTTTATCTTAGGAGTAACCAACAGCCACCTCACTGAACTTAAGGCCCACTTCACAGGAGGGAATTTCTGCCTACATTGTAAACCCAGCCAACTATAGATGGCCAATCAGGTTATGGACCCTACAGAAAAACCTATTACTGTCAATCTTCTAAACCAGTATAATTATAAATATTCATCTTTATATCCACAGAGAAGTATAGCTCTTAGCCCACAGTCAGAGAATCTTCTTTTTTTTTCCAACAGGGGGATACCGTTACAGAAAGCCACAATTTATCAAAATGCACAACTGCCCAGTCCCAGCTGATATATCTATAACACCACCCCTATACCTAAGGCTCAGGGAACAACATGGGTTCCTGTTAGAAACACAAATGCTACAGTTTAAAACTAGCACAGTGTAAAACTAATAAGCCCTCAGCACACAATCCCCATATCAACTGCACCATCTAATGAAGACTGACTGGCTATTTTCCATGCCCTGCCATTGGTGGGCCTTGCCTGCTTGAACTGGGCCATGCCCTCTCTCAAATCCCAATGTCAGTCATGAGAACTAGCACTTATCTGGGTCTCAAGAGGGTTCATAGAACAGCTAATGTCCAGTGAACATAAATCTAAGGTGGGCAGAAGACTGTTAAGGACAACTACATGGCCAATAGAAGACCCTCAAGACAACGGGTTCAGGGCCTTAGCACTTGGCCAACAGCTGACCTTCAAGTTAAACAGGTTCAGAGCCTCAGAGAAGTTGCTAGTGCTAACAGTCAGGGCTGCTGAAAGTCTGTCATCATTTGGCATGGGCTCCTCCCTAAGCAGATAAGCAGGTGCTCCTGCTGCAGACCTGAAGAGCAAGGAAGTCAGTGGGATGCTGGTGCGGGATTGGCCTGGCTTAACCCTGAAGCCCAACTCCCAAAGCAGACAGCATCTAAGTAAGCAAGGGACAAGGTCCTCCCAGAGCTTGGGAGCATGATGGCCTAGCCCACATGTTCCAGAGCAATATTTAAAGATTTAAGCTCCAAGATGTGTGGAGACCACTTTCCTATCAAATAAAATGAAGCTTGATTATAAACACATCTACAACTGTTACTGGACCGAATGACTAAACTGTATCAAGTTTAAGTATCTAAAGCCCAGCTTAACTTCCCTATATGCATGTTATAAACTGTAGAGGGGTGAAGAGAGCTAAATCCCAGTACACACTATATATGAAGTTTAAGAGCCCAGGCACCCAACAAACACAGAGAGCTTTCCAACTTCAAGCCTCAGTGAGGGACTCCTGTGTGGCTCATGAGCACACAACTGCATACATCAGTGACTTACCTTTTGTGTTTTCTTTGACTCTTTCTGAGCAGTCTCCCAGAGTGGGGCTTTTCCAAACAGCTTCCATCCCAAGTCTCTCTGTCTATCCAGTCTTGCATTTTGTTTTCTAGCAAGCAAATTCCTATAGAAAGAAAAAAACGAAAGGGCTAGGCCATTTCTTGGTATTTATAGAGACACTAGGATGGCCAGGCAGGCCATTAAACTCTGCTTTGAGAGACAATGTGCGACGAGCACATGTTAATACCTCAGACTTGGTTTGCTTATGCACAGAACTACACAGACACAGATCTTAGACATAAGCTTGTTGTAGTCAACTATTATGTGTACAAATTCAACAACTTAGAGTAAAAAATGTTCAAGGCTAAGCACTGTGGTGCATGACTTTAATCCCAGCACTTGAGAGGCAGAGGCAGGCGGATCTCTGTGAGTTTGAGACCAGCCTGGTCTACAGAGAGAGTCTAGGACAGCCAGGACTACACAGAGAAACACTGTCTCAAAAAAAAAAAAAAAAAAAAAGAAAAAGAATGAAAGAAAAGAAAATGTGTTCAATGATAAAGTAAATCAGCAAAAGCCAGCCAAAAAGCCTGGCTCAGGCATTCACTAGGTGTGAATCTGGACCAGGAAAGTAAACTGAGTCTCAGGCTGCTAATGAGTGCCAGAGAGACTCCACTTGTGATCCACAAGTTCATTCACAAACTGACATTTCAAGGACAGCCAGCCAGTCTTTCATACAACAGTTGCTTTAGTAGCCAACCTCTAGCTTAAATTATCTACACGGTGATCTATACAGCCTCCAAGGATTGGAGAAAATCATTCCTGAGATAGTCACATGTAACCAACAACATGTAAACAAGAGCTCCAAAAAATCCTAACTGGCAGTATAAATAAACCTGGAACTCAGATATCCTCAGATATACAGGTGTAGTCAGATGCAGTCATTAACATGAATGGCTTCCAGGGAGCCCCACAAAGCAGACATGCTACAGCTTTTCAGTAAGTTTAAAAACATATCAAAACAGAGTCACAAAAACTTCAAAAAAGAACAAATGACCAGATGTGACACAGTACACCTATAATCCCTGAATTTGGGGTATGGAGGATTTCTACAAGTTCAAAGCTAGTATGAGCTCTGTGATGAATCTGAGGCCAGCTTGGGCTGCATTAAAGCAAGACCCTGTCAAGATAGATAGATAGATAGATAGATAGATAGATAGATAGATAGATAGATAGATAGATAGATAGATAGATAATAAAAAACGGGAGGGGAAAGGGAGGAGGGAGGGGAGAGCAGGACTATAAGAATGAATTGGTTTCACTGTTTTCTTCCCAGGTTTCTGTTGTGGTTACAATGGAATCTATTTCAGAAATGATTTTACTGCCAAATACAATTCCTAGTTATATTTGTAAAAATAAATAAGTAAAGGAATTTTGGGCACTCTTGAGCTTCAACCATCCAAGGAGGACTTCTGCAATTTAAACCAAGTAAAGTCCCAGGCACCCACAGATGCTAAGAAATGGGATAACCAGAACCTGAGTTACTGGAAGGGTTACATCTGGCTGAAGAGGAGCCGGGGGGAAGGGACTGGCACAGAAAGTGAAATGAGCCATAGAGAAGCGAAGGCCACACAATGGCAGCGGCAGGAAGGACAGTGCTACCTGTCCAAGGAGAGAATACAAGACCTCACAGAGCAACCTGTCTGTGGGATGGGATTATAGGGGATAGGCACCTGGCTCCTGCATTTGTGTCTTGGGGGGCTGAGCACAAATGGTGCTACTCACTGTAACAACAGAATGATGAAAAGGAGCGCTTGAAAGCACACTCTGCAACACTGCACAATGGAAGTGCAGACAAAACTAAAGAGCATCGAAACTCAAAAGTTGCTTGGTTAGTGTTTGCTCACAAACAAACCAAAATTTGACAGACTCGTGGAAAACAGCTTGAATATTTTTTTAATAGTTAACACCTTAAAAACCCTAAATCACAGTACTACATATAAAATGGTACTGCACACAAGTGATCTGAACACACAGAAGTGCCTTTCAGGACCAAAGCAGTGTCCAGGCAAGCACTGCGAGCATATAAGGAACAGGCAGGCACAAGCCAGAACCCTGTAGCCCCTGTACAATCTTCCTGCCAGGGGTCTGGCAGCACCTTAGGGGCACCTTTTAGAACCCATGCACATGATACCATTCTTGCCTAGTTTTCAGCAGCTCCTTTCCAAGGCTATGTGACCCCATGAGCCACCATCTGCCTATACTGCACAGGGGACAGGGAACTGCGAGCAGCTGTATTCAAGCTTCCTCTTTGAGACTTTACAATGGCTATCTCCACCCAGCAACAGATCCTCATACTTGCCAAAGGCTCTCAGCTGTTTCCACAGTACTCAATCCTTCATGCCATGTCTTCAACATAGGCTATATTCCCTCCCCTCTGCTTTTTGTCCCTGGCAAGAGGGCAACGAAATCACCCCTATGCTCCATAGTTTACCCTGCAAACACTAGGTGCCCAGCATGTTTGCTGGCAACTGGAGTGACCACCGTGTGTGTCTGCCAGGAGGCAACGGGAGGGGGATGGAAAAGCATGGTTAGGAACACCGTCTGAGTTTAACATAAAGTGTCCTCCAAAAGGCTCACGTGTGGAAGGTTTGGTCCCCAGCTGGTAGCATTATTGAACCCCATGATTTCATCAAGGGGTTAATCCACTGTTGAATTCACAACTGAATAGACTCTGTTAGGAGGCAGGGCCTGGTTAGAAGTAGGGCAAAGGGTGTGTTCTTGAAGGGTATATCTAATCCTGGACCCTCCTTGCTGTTCTCTCTGCTTTCTGCCTTACCATACGACTAGAAGCAATGGAGACAGCTGACCTGAAAGTGAATCCTCTGAAACTATGAGGCAAAATAAATCCTCCCCTCAAGTTGTTTTCCTGAGGTATTTTGTCACAGAGGCTGAAACAAGACTAGCATACATATACACACAGCCACACAAGCTGAAAATAGGGAGACAGCGACCCTGCTTCTACCACAAGGTCAACTAGGACAGTCTCAGGGCAGAGGCAGCAGAACCTAGGAAAGAAGGGGCAAGGTAGGCTGAGGGGAGTACTCAGTCAGTAAAGTGCTTGCTGCACAAGCATGAGGGCCTGAATCAAACCCTGAACTGAACTGAAATGCCAGGCATAGAGCACACTCAGGAAGCAGAGGAAGGTAGATTCCTGGGACCCTCTGGCTAGCCAGTTATCCTAATAAGTGAGTCCCAGGTTCCAGTAGGAGAACCTGTCTCAAAAAAATAAATAAATAAAAGTGGATAGCTCCTGACACCTGTGGCCTCCACATACACACACGAGATGCCAAAGCAAGTTTGTGTAGTAGATGTTTAGGTTTCTTTAAAAACTCAGTTATGTAAACAGGTTTTTGTTTTAATCCCAAGTGTGGGATATAGAGCTGTTTTTAGTTTATCCATAGCTGATAACAGCATCTTGCAAATCAGAGAGGGGCCTGGTTTTTGCCAGCCAGGGATAGTTTAACTCAGGGGACTGAGAGGATAAATCCAAGAGCCAAGAGAGTTTAACTCAGAGGATTCTGAGAGGATAAATCCAGAGCCAAGAGAGGAGGAAGCTTCAAGGAGAGGGTCAGAGAAAGAAGAAAGCTGCTGCTGGTTCGTCTTGCCGCTCTGCTTGCTGGTTTGTGTTGCTGGACTCCTGGATGCCCTGGCGACTGAAATTAGTAATGCCCCAAAGAACTCAGCAACCCTGATGAGCAGGAACTAAGTCTACAAAGGTCTATGTCCCCTTTCCCTTCTAACCTTCTTTTTCTCCTACCTAGTGTTAGGAGGTTTGAAAGGAGGTAGAGATATAAGAAACCCAAATAATATAGTTTTAAGATGGCAAAACAACTACGCCCTTGGGGAAGACAGAAAGGTGGTAGACAGTTTGCAGGAGGTGAGTTTCCACTATAGAGAAGCACTTGAGAGAAAACATTTCCCATAAATACTGGACTCATCTTTTCTGTATTCCCAGAAAACTATGGCTCCTTGGTGGGAAGATACATTTGTGACTCAAAGGGGAAAACTAGCCTCCTTGAAGCATTAGGGACAGAGAGCTACTGACCCCCAAACCGTCTGACCAAAAAGACCCAGAACAATGAGCAGACAGAACATCTGCAGCAGTGGCCTGAACTAGCTACCAACACACAGTGCAGTGCCCGTAGCCCTGCTTCTAATCCATATGCTCCATTGACACACTGCCCACATAGCTCCCTGCCCACCTCAGACTCCAGAGCACAAGTCCTGTGTGCTCACATACACACACTGACACGGTCCTCCTCTGCCCTGCTGCAAGCCTGTCTTAGTTTCTCAGCACTCATCTCTTCCCAGATGCTTACTCAAATCCCCCCTTCACAGAACCTCTTTCTAAAAATATCAGTCTGGGTAAGAAGCTCCTCTGCAGGCTAGGACTGAACAACCTTAAGGCACTCCTGCCATATTTCGTGGGGCCTCAATTGTATTCAGTAACAGAAAGTTCCAGGAGAAGGAAGGGCTTTCTCCAGTAACCACCCTGTGCAGGATTCAGGAAGAGGAAGAGGCCTACTCTACCTGTGCACAGATCCTTGCACTTTCTTCAAGTTCTTCAAGTTGTACTTTCTTCCTTGCACTGTTCCGCCCTGGACCCAAGGCTCCAAATACATCTACAAGCACCACATCCTAAAGGCAGAAATGGCTCGCACTAGCACTGTCCTCAAGTCTTGCGAGTGACTTGACCCTGATTTGGGGGGCATGTGGCTTGGTTCCACCTCCATCCCTATTGCACAGACTGCTCCTCAGGTCCATCAGTATTTGCAAATAGGTGACGTGAGTGTTAAATGAGGTGGCGGCCAGAGCTCAGCAAAGCCATATTCTTAGCCTGCAGGAGAGCTGTCCCCACTCCACCCATCAGGTGTTTCCACAGTTCTCCACTGAGTGAGCACTGAAGAGCAGGGACTCCTCATGCCGAACCCTGCCACCACCACTATGTAAGTAACCCCCAAGACAGAGATCTGCAGAGAATGAGCTAGCTCATGAGAACAGGAAGTTCCCAAAGAAGGTGGTCTGTTGGGGGTTGGTATGGTGTGCTCTGCTGAATTCTGGGCC